GGGGGGGGGGTAATTTAGGCTACATTAAAAAAAGTAACATAAAAAAAAATACAACACAAAACTCACAGATGTGGGCGGTACTAGCGCATTCGCGCTAGCCCAGGCATAACACAAGCCTATAAACGCGGCCACTAGCGCGATCGTGCTAGTAGCGCGTTCAATAGCGCGGTCGCGCTAATATTTTTGAGCTGAGGTAGAATACTTGCCCATATGCGCGGCCTGTAGCGCGGGCGTGCTCCTAGGCATAATTTTTTTCATGTTTTTCACCTGTTCTTACCACTTCTGATGGCCTTATCACCCGCCCATTGTCACCTGCATTGGTTAGCATTTCCTAAAAACTCACAATTAACAACTACTACTATCGTTGGGTTGCCTTCCAACCAGTACCTTAGTTAATGTCGTGGCATGATGATTACAACAATTCAATGGGTTGCCTCCCATGCAACGCCTGATTTAACGTCGCGGCACGACGCATGCTCGCAGCATCACTCCTCATTCACGTACTAGGGCTCTTCCAATATCTCCCTGTCCCCTTTCTCGTTTGCCATTCCAAGATAATGTTTCAACCTCTGAGCATTCACTGTGAACTTATTCGTCCCATCCTCTAATTCAATTTCAACAGCTCCACTTGGGAACATTTGCACCACTCTGAAGGATCCTGACCATCGGGACTTCAACTTACCCGGAAACAATCTCAATCTGGAGTTGTATAACAACACTAGCTCTCCGGATTTGAAGTTTCGGTCCACGATGTGCTTGTCATGCATCAATTTCATCCGTTATTTTGTATAATCTAGCACTCTTGAATGCCTGAAACCTGAATTCCTCTAGCTCATGTAACCCAGTGACTGTTAGTGCCTGTTGTCTCCATATCCAAGTTCAACTGCCGCAATGCCCAAAGTGCTTTGTGCTCAAGCTCTACCGGGAGGTGGCATGCCTTTTCAAACACCAACTTGTACGGTGACATACCAATTGGAGTTTTGAAGGCTGTGCGGTACGCCCACAATACATCATCCAGCTTCTTTGCCCAATCAGTCCTTGTTGCATTCACTGTTTTTGTAAGGACACTTTTAATCTCCCCGTTGGACACTTCAACTTACCCGCTCGCCTGTGGGTGGTACAGGGTGGTCACCTTATGATGAACTCCATACTTTTCCAGCAGCCGTGCGAACGCTCTATTGCAGAAATGGGTTCTGCCATCACTGAGTATAGCTCTTGGGGTGCCAAAAAGTGTGAAAATGTTCTTCTTCAGAATGCCTGTTACCCCTTTAGCATCATTGGTCGGGAGAGCCACTGCTTCGACTCACTTGGAGACGTCGTCAACTGCTACCAATATGTACTTGTTACCATACGAGCTGACAAATGGCCCCATGAAGTCGATCCCCCACATGTCAAAAACCTCCACGTCTTGAATTATGGTCATTGGCATCTCGTGTCTGCAATATATGTTGTTGTCCTTTGGCATTCATCCCAACTTTTGACCCAAGCATAGGCATCCTTGAACAGAGTTGGCCAAGACAAGCCCGACTCCAACACCTTAGTTGTTGTCCGACCTCCAAAGTGTCCACCATATGGTGAAGCATGGCAAGCCTACAAAACAGAATCTTGATCTTTCTTGGGGATACACCGTCGGATCATGTTATCTACACATATTTTAAATAATAAAGGTTCAGCCCAATAATAAGATCGACAATCACGAAAGAACTTTTTCTGAGGAGAGTTCGGTACAATACCACTTGCTAAATAATTAGCAATGTCAGCATACCACGGTGCCTCCTCCATTGTCATTGCTAGTAACTGTTCATCCGGGAATGTCTCTGTGATATCCTCAACCTCTACCTTCTTTTCAGCTCCTTCCAACCTTGAGAGGTGCTCCGCTACTTGGTTCTCTGTCCCTTTTCTGTCACGTATTTCCAGATCGAATTCTTGTAACAGAAGAACCCAGTGAATCAAGCGTGACTTTGACTCCTTTTCTATCAGGTACCTAATTGCTGCATGGTCAGTGTAAATAATAACTTTCGAGCCAATCAAGTATGACCTGAATTTGTTGAATGCAAAAACGACAACCAACTTCTCCTTTTCCGTCACGGTGTAATTGAGTTGTGCACCACTTAGCGTTCTGCTTGCATAGTAAATCGGGTGCATCAGTTTATCCTTTTGCTGCCCCAAGACTGCTCCTATAGCATAGTCACTTGCGTCGCACATGAGCTCAAACGGTTGCTCCCAGTTGGGTGCAACAATGATGGGTGCAGTCACCAATCTATTCTTCAACTCCTCAAATGCCAACCTGCAATCATTAGAAAACACAAGGGGTGATCCTTTTCAAGGAGTTTGCATAACGGGTTAGGCCTGATTCCTGAAATATATCAAAAGACTGTAAACTTTAACTTTTATGCTACAACTAGTACTTATTTGGAACCTGAATTGAGGAAAAAGATTGCATTTATAACATCTATGTTAGAATTCTAATTATGTCAGGTCTTAGTTTTCTTGACAAAGGTGCCAAAACTGGGTGCGCGCCTAAGAAGCTAGACATGTAATCAAGGCAATCTAATGGCTTTTCTGAATACGAATCAATTTGCCTAATGATGAGGAGTCAGCATTTTGCAGTGTGCGATGTGGAAAGGACTAAAGGAACATATTTGGAACGAGCAGCAATTGCTTCCTTTTTTGTTACTAAATGGGTAGAATAATGGGGATGATAAATCAACATTCATGTTTTCCATATGAGCCTAACCAATGTTGACATGAAAATCAGCCATCTTTTCTTGGTGTATGCCCGAATACTTATTCTCATCTTAATTGTGCTTATATATCATATTATGGGTAACATCAATTTTCAATATTATTGGGACTTTGTTGAAATTAAAAACTTATACTACTGGATCCTGAAAATTTTCATAGGCATATGGTGGCACCACAGAAGGTAGCGGTTTGGGTGGTGTGTTTGATTCACTTGTTAGCCATCTAACAAATGCACATACTAATTTTCTTCAAAAATGGGATCAGTTGATTGACTTGGAGGCTAAAGAAGATGAGGTACAATACATTGTCGACTGTAAATTAAGAAATCACTTCATGGCAATTGAATATCTCTTTGCTTGTTAATTTTTTTTTCCAGGTTGTAAAGAAAGAAATTTGGAGTTCACAAAGTTCAAAGAATGACCTTTACGCTCCTTACTTATCTTCTCTTGTCCTTGATACATCAGAACAAACCACACCAACAAACTTTTGCAAAGGAAATCAATTTACTTATCACTTTGTACATCGAGATTGGACTTCCTTGGGCACTCACCAACAGGATGGAGATGCTCTTAATAGTTATGATTTTCCTATGAAAAAGTTTGAATCCTCGCTTAGGAATGGGGATTATGTGGTATTCTTCTTTCTCATATTCTTTTTGTTTTATGCACTCCTGAATGTTCTATTTTCACAGCAATCAGCTGAAGCAAGAATTACTTGTCCATAGGTGTAAATCTGCCTGCCTCCAAGAGAACAGTAGTGAGACAGAGCAGTTATATGCATCTATAGCAAACTGCATGATCCTGTCCCTGTGAAATATAGTAATCGGATGGCTTGAACTAATGGTTCAGTTAGTTATTTTGGTGAAGTAATGAAGCTTCTTAGAATTCAATGAATCAACTATGCCTTGATCCTGAATTAGTTGTGGTCAGCTACAGGAATCCTCTTATTCATTCCACTCTATCTAAGAACACATGCCTTGGTGGCTCTGGGATCATCCCACAAATTTAGTAATTCTCTACTAGCGTCAAACCCTCGGGCTTTACTTGGGTTTGGGACCACTAGGCTTCGTGAAGCTCATAGAGGACAGGGAGTTCTCACTATTCAATAACAAAAAAAAAAGAATAATAGTCAATTATTTTCTGAAAAAATGGCGTAATTTCTGATTTATCTTGGGCCATGGCTTATGTTTGTATAAGTTGCCTGCAAATAGAGTAATTTCTAGTTTTGTTGAGCCTCTCAATAGCTGAATTGTTTGTTTCGTTCCTGCACTTTCAGCTCACAGTAGTGTATGAGTTGTGATCATTTGAATTGAAAGTGCTGTCTTATAAGCGCAATATGTTTGGTTCTATTCATGGTCATAAGCAATTGACGGTATGACAATATAAATTTTAAACTATTCAGATATTGAGCACTGAACCTGGTGGTATACTAATAGCTACTGGAGTTGTTGTAGATATGAGTTGCTCTCGCATCTCGGTGAGTATTAGACCTTTGTTTGGTATTAATTCTTCAATGCAAGGAGTTATTACTTTATAGTGTTTGTCATTGCTGCAAAAAGCCTAGAATGCACGGATATAACTTAGTTTCAGTTCCTTCTTTTCATTCTCCTTAGGTGGAGCAACCCGAACTTTTCAAATAATCTCATTTGTTCCAATGAAAAGTAGGAAACTTATATTTCTCGTCTGCCAATTATCTTCGTTAATGCTGTTAGATCTCACTTTGGTCCCTTTCAACAGCTGAAAAGCTTTTGCCTTTCTTTAATAGATAAGGTAGCTCCAAACTATATAAGTAGATGATATAAGAATGAAATAGTTTGATTTGTTGAGACAAAACAGAACAAGAGCCCTGACCATTAACAAAACTAAAGCTTCACATGGCTCTTCCTTTTTATCCCACTTTCAAAAGAAAAACTACTTCAGGACCTGGAAAGCATTTTCCAAAATGAAAAGTTAAAGAAGTCCATACACGGAAGTCTTCTAAACCAGTGTTCGTCTTAAGAAATAATTACAACTAAAGCATACTAGTGTTTAGCTTACTGTATTTAGCTAGGGCTAAAGCATTCTTTTGTTAATATATCTATATCTATACAAGATTTTACGACCTAACCTGTCTATCTTATCATAGTATTGTTTTCAAGTAGTAGAGGTCCATTGTCACTCATTCTGAAGTGAGCCAGGCTACATTCCCTTGTATGTCTTTGATTTTCAAAAAAAAATATTTGTTGATTTGTCTAATTCTTTATGATAATTCTGGCACTAATTAACAAGTTTGGAATATAAAATGCCCTGGGTACTCCTTTTGATTTTGGGTCCAATAATATGTAAAAGGAAAAAGCCTGCGCAGATTTTAACTTGTAATATTTGCTTTCATAATTCAGGTATCTCTTTCCAAACGCTTAAGGCTTCCAGGTAGCAGCCGGACTTCACAGGCACAAGATCTTCATCAGCAGTTGTGGCGAATTCATAAAGATGAGTTTATGGGTTCATTTGCAATTATGAGGTATTCAAATTTTTTCATGCGTTATTATCTCCATCTGAAGTACATATATTTGTCCAAGCTTAATTTGCTCCTGCTTTGATTTTGAAGATTCAACCTCATACAACTATTTCTGCAAAATGAGCAGAGTTCTCATCTGAGGAAGATGATAGTTGATCTGGAGGTGAATGCTCTACTTATGTATGAAATTTGATTTGCAGCTCCTCAGCCACAGCCCTCTTTAATGAATGAGAAGAAAATCTTAACTGTGAAATTCTGCAGGTGCCTAGGTTTGATAGTGGATGTCAATTTAGTCAAGACCCCGCCATCTCATACATTTGGTCGGAGAAAAACTTGAATGACGATCAGCGCCGAGCCATACTTAAGGTGAAGAGTTATTGAAACTCTCTATAATTGGGTTTATATCTGCACCTGCAAATCAGAAGCATTGTGAATTATCAGAATCTTAATTGGATAAACCAGATACAAAGCAAAACTTACAGCATTCGAGTTGTCAGAACTCTCAGCCATATCAAACTGTCAGAATTGTATTGTGAATTATCAGAACAGCATCATATATAATTGTCACTACTGCAGATACTTACGGCAAAGGATTATGCGCTGATACTAGGAATGCCAGGGACAGGCAAAACATCCACTATGGTCTATGCTGTGAAGGCACTGTTGATGAGAGGTTCATCCATTTTGCTTACCTCCTATACAAACTCAGCTGTTGATAATCTGCTTCTCAAACTGAAGGCTCAGGTCATCTCCATCCTTGATGCTTCTATTAGAAACTTATTGTTTTGATCTTTATTTAACTACTATGCTGTATCTCAAAAACTTAGAAGGTATAAGCTGTGGAACTGGTGTCAACATAGTATAAAATTCTTGCTTTAAATAGTCTTGGGAAAGCTAGATTTAGCAAACTGAAGAAATCTATATTCGGTGCAAGGTACGCATAGGAGTTGATGTGTAGCATTAGATGAAACTGGTTGATTTAAGAAGGGCCTACTATGACAACTACATTCCCTAGCTGCTTCTACTGGTATTAGTATTACATCATTAATTTCCTCTTTATCCTTCAATCATTTAGAAGCTACATACATTTTTTATTTTACTACCTCCAAACTCCTGAAATAAATTCCAGCATAAAGCTGCTTGGTGGTGACTCCATCGAATAAAATCCTTTTTGAATCACCAAATTGTCACATTCATTGAAATCCCTTCCCCCACTTGTGAGAATTTGTTGCATATGTAATGTGGTTAGTGAATGGGCGTTAAGGAGGATCTCCACCTGCCATTTGAAGCTCTGCTGGAAGTATGTGCTCTCGCATGGAGTAAAGGGTTGAAGGACCATCAAGGAATTGGATATCCCTTTAAAAAGGGTGGAAGACCTTTTTAGATGCGAAATTCTTCGTTTTTTTTATCACGTGCTTCCCATTGGTCAATGACCAACCAAGGTGCTCTATACTTCACTACTTGTAAGGCGTGACGTATGATTCATTGACTTTTAATTTAATAAAAGAAGATATTCAAAATGCGAATGTCTAGCTATTTAATGGATAAGGGGATAGATTATAGCTGTTCAGCTTAACTCAGTGCAATCTTGTAGAAAGAACAACTCAAACTTAGGCATTCAACTGTTAAATATAAACCCTAAACCTATATTTTTAAAATATATAATTAATAACAAATTTTAAAGTTTAAACTGTTTTGTAACTTGAAGCATTTTCAAGGAAAACTAACAAATGCCTATCAGAAATTCTAAACAAGGGATATCTTGAGTCCAAATTGATAAACACAAGTCATTTACTTCGAACTTTGATTCCTCCATATTGTAGATCATGTATAACTTGGTCTCACCATGAAAAGTTTTAGATAGCGCTGTTAAGCTGTTGATGAATTAGTAGACAAGCTATTCTGATATATGTTAGTGGGGCTTAGGCGAAGGGGAAAACAAATCCAATCTATTAGCTTCATGGCAGAAAACCAAAATTCTATCCTTATAATCCTTGTCCTAACATACATTTAGATCAAATCCAGAGCCTGCTGATTTCTAAGGTAAAAAATAACGCAACTACCTCTTCGTGTATAAATGTATCAAGTTAAAGATCCTTCTTTTTATCCATTTAGATATTCAACTATATGCAGCCTCTCTGCAAGTAAAATGAAGCTGATTGACTGACATGCAAGCGTTATCGAGGAAAATCTCTCTTTTCTTCTTCCTCTAAGGGCATGATTTTCTGAAATGTCCTGCTAGGAATGATTTCTCGACATGCTTCACCTACATATTACGGAGTATCATTTATTTTTCCTAGTGCTTTCATTCTCTGGTATGCTTCTGCTGATTGGCACTGCCAACCACAAGACACAAGTAATGTAGTGCTTTTACATTTACATACAAATCCTACTGCATTACCACTTCAGTGGACATTGGGACTAACATATATACTGTTGCAGGGTATAGATTTTATTCGTATTGGAAGATATGAGGTTGTACACGAGGAAGTTCGAGAGAATTGCTTATCAAGTTGGTTTCTGGTAACTTTGTCAAAGAGTTTGCTTCATGATTGGCCCACAGAATACTAATTTACTGCTGGACTTTCTCCTACAGTGATGGACACTCATGGTCTTGAAGAGATAAAGCAAAGGATAGAGCAAAGCAAAGTTGTTGCTGTTACGTGTTTGGGGATAACTAGCCCATTGCTTTCAAACAAGAGATTTGATGTGTATATCATGGATGAAGCCGGACAAACTACGTTGCCGGGTAAGTTTCTATAGTTTATGTTGTAGTGAAGCATTTGAACATTTTGTTGAATAGAGGTCTTGAATGAGGTTAAACTTGTCAAAGTTGCTATTGCTGATTGCAATTGTTCTATATATCTCAATTAACTATGTTTGTATTTTTTTGATAAGGTAAAGTTTTATTAATGAAGGTACCAAGATGGTAGAGTTACACCAGACCAAAAACTGCCATAATACTTATCAACTACAAACCAGCTATCTCCTCCAAGAAATCTATGTATTATTCTAGATTTTCAATAACACTCCTTTTACACCAAAAAAAACAAATTCAAAAGACATCTATTTTTAATCCTGGATACATGCTGTCTTATCCTTTCAAAGAACTCTGTTTCTCTCCAACCACATTGTCCATAAGACACAGGGGGATTGTTCTCCACACTGCCTGCTGACTTCTTGCTACTTGTTGATGTTGCCATGTCTCCAGCAGACTTGATACATTTTGTGGCATAACCCATTTGATACCATACAAACCAAGGAATAGCTCCCAACACTGTCTTGCCACTTTGCAATGAATGAGGAGATGATCGACTGTTTCTAATTCTCCTTCACACATATAGCATCTATTAATTAAAATAGTTCCTCTCTTCTGTAGATTATCCTGACTTAAACAAGCTTCCTTTGCTGCCACCCACCCAAAACATGCTGCTTTAACAGGAGCTTTTGATTTCCTTATTGCTTTCCATGGCCAATCAGATTCATACCTCCCTTGTTGCTTCTGTAAAAGAGTATAACCTCTGCTAACTATGAATTTCCCATCATTACTTGCTGCCCAAATCATTGAATCTCTCCTATTGCCCTCCAAACTGACACTGTCCAGCAATTGCATTAACTGAGCGAATTAATTTACTTCCCAGTCATTAAGGCCCCTCCTGAAGATCAACTGCCAGCCATTACTTGAGTAAAAGCCTGCTACCTTCCCATTGTTGTCAGAGAAGCAGTGATATAAAACTGGAAATTGTGATTTGAGACTTTCATTCCCCATCCATACACCAGTCCAGAATTGGATATTTTTACCATTCCCCAGCTTCAACTTTACAAACTGACTACATTCCATAGATTACTGATAGTGCTCCAAAGTCCCCCTTTGGAAGAGGATTGGACTGCATGAGGAGTCCAAAAATCTTTCCTGCCATGTTTGACATCTATGAGTTGTTTCCATAACCTATTGCTTTCATCGTTATATCTCCAAAGCCACTTAAATAATAGGCTTTTGTTGTGCAGCCTTAAATTCCTTACCCCCAAAACAATCTCTTTTGCTTTTCCGTTTCTGTGTTTTTAGAGCTAGTTATTTTTATGAACTACATTTGTCACCAGATGACAAGTCCTTACTTGAAAAACAAATGACAATATTAGATTTACAATCCAGGTATCATTGGGACCATTGACATTTGCATCAAAATTTGTTCTAGTTGGGGATCATTATCAATTACCACCACTCGTCCAGGTAATCTTGATTCTCTCTGCGTTGAGCTCCAATGCTTGTGTAACTTGTGATACCAAAACTTCGAACTGTTTCCATATTAGAGTGCGGAGGCTAGAGAAAATGGAATGGCAGTAAGCCTGTTCTGCCGACTCTCAGAAGCTCATCCCCAAGCAATTTGTACTTTGCAAAGCCAGGTATCTTCAAATTTCAATAAGATGTTTCTTTCCACCTCTGAAGTTCGTTTGGGTTAATATAGTTGCCACTACTATGCTACAACTTGCAGTACCGCATGTGTGCAGCCATAATGGAATTATCAAATGCCTTGATATATGGTCACAGATTGCGATGTGGTTCTTCTCAAGTAGAAAAAGCCAAAATCAAGTACACAGCATTGCCATCTGGACCTACGTGGATAAAGGAGGTAATAGTCAGTGATTACATTGCTTCCAAGTACAATGCTGCTTTATTTTAGTAATGATCCAAACATAAGAGGCCTGCCCAGCTAGAAAAAATGATCTTAGGATGGAAAATAGATGTCGCTTCCAAGTATGATACTACTTTATTCTATATATTCCAAACTATAGAGGACTGCACCTTCTATAAAGAGATTGATGCCTGGATGGACAATACACCTGGTGAAACTTGTCCATTTCTTGAGCACTCATAAGTTCTTCCCTGTATATAAGTTAAACGTTTGAGCTGCTGGTTCATTTCCGCAAAGTTAATTCCGGCAATAAACCACTCAAATCTGCACTTTCTACTTGCTTCTCAAGGAGCAAGTCTGCTCATATTTTCATGTCATAACCACAGTGATGCTTTTTCTTCTTAGAGTGATTTACGCTTTCATTTATATATACTTTTCCGATGTACTTATTTAGGTATATGCACTCAAATTAAAGAGGTGTCGTGTAAAACCTAGTGCACTTTTTAGTTTTTAGTGTTTCCGTTTGGTAACTAGACACAATATAAGACATCTTTTGCCTGTCCGTTCTTTTCTGTCCGGACCCTCGAGAAAATAGAAAAATCCAGTTTCTAACTGAAGCTCTACTACTTGTGAATTCTGAGGTTTTTTATTGGTTGATCTAATAGGTTTAGACTACTGAGGAAAAAGTCAAAAACAGAATAGCCTAAGGCCATCTCCAACGCTAGCACTATTTTTTGCACCAAATTTCACACTAAAATGGTGTAACACCAAATTTACTCCAACCATTACACCATTTTTTACACCAAATCTTCTCTCTCTTCTATATTATATTATTATCTTCTATTTACTTTTCATTTTTTATTTCCTTCAAACTAATACTATCTTTTTTCTTTTTTCCATATTCATTATATATAATTCACATTCCCCACTTATATAATCATTTATTACAAAATTATTTTAAAGGATAAATTAACAAAAAGTGAAATCATTGATAAAAGATAATTAAATAAATATTACATCAGTCAAATTTAATTTAAGTACCACATAAATATTTAAGTTTCGCCTCTATTCTCCCATAAATGCTCGATTAATGTATTACGAAGTGCGAAATGCGCATCTTTATCCTTAATTTTTTTGTGTCGAGTTAATGGTTATATTTCTTTTTATACAATTATAATAATAATAAAATTAACTTATAATTTTATATAAATATAATATATATAAAAATTAATATATCAAAAAATAGGATATAAAATTAAAATTATAAAGATCTTAATATAAAAGTTAATTATATACACAATATATGATAAATAAAAAGTCCAAAAATAAAAAAATTGAATAAAATAATATTAAACCAAATATAGAGTGATGAATAGTGTTGCACCAAATTTGGTGCAACACTATTCATGCTCTATAATAGTGCAAAAAATGGTGTTGCATTGGAGCAAAAAAAACACCATTTCTTGCACCAAATTTGGATTTGGTGCAAGATTTAGAGTGGCGTTGGAGATGCCCTAAACACATGTTCTTCACTACCCTTGTATTAATGAGACCGAATTGTTGGTTGATCTCTTGTGTTTCAAAAAGTATAATTTGTCTACCTGCTGTCCAAAGTTTCTCATTGCACAATCTTAAAGGTCCTTAGAAAGGATGATTCTTACCATAGTAATGATTCATACAAAGTTGTACATAACTGACAAGGAGGAGTTCAACTTTGTATACAAAGGTAGTGATGGGAATGTAGGAAAACAGTAGGAGAAATTTTACAAGGGAGAAATTTAGTGCAGTTACTTGGTGTGATCATTATCTGACAAGGATGATCTCATCTTAAGCAGTTATATTCCTTCCAGAAAAATATGTTGTATGACTTGTGAGGGTTAATACCCCAACTGCTTGTCGTCTTATTCTGTGAAATAACCTGGTATGATCTGTCTTGACAGGCTTTGAATCCAGACAGACCTGTCGTCTTTATAAACACAGGTCAGGCGAATTTCCATCTCAAATCAAATTATGCAGGCTTGTCAAATGCAGTTTAAACGTTCTTGTCCTAAGCTGTTGACTTATCTGTTTTTCCAAACTAGATTTGTTGCTTGCATTTGAAACAAATGACCGTAAAGCTGTAAATAACCCAATGGAAGCAAATATCATTGCTGAGGTATGAATGCCTCTTGCTTCTTCCATGAATGTTAATGACCATTGGCATCGGATCACAAGAAATATATTAAGCTGTAATTTCTGTATAATGATTTTGGCCTACAGATAGTGCCTAGGTTGTTGAGCAGAGGTATATTGGAGGAAGATATAGGCATCATTACACCCTACAACTCTCAGGCAGATCTTATCCGGCAATCTGTTTCCACATCAGTGGAGATACATACCATTGATAAATACCAGGTAATATATGTTGATGTAATTACATCCTTGAAAAACATCTTAAATTTGCAACTTTTCTTATTTTTAAAAAAGACAGCTCCTTTTTGGCAGGGTAGTAGAAGGGGAAAGGAAATCACTAGACCAGCCTTACTAGAAACATATCTGTCTATGGTTATTCTCTGACACGTTTGTAATTGTCAACTATACACATAGGCGACCTAGTACGGTTTTGAACTATAGGGTCCTGAATGCCAGCTGGAAGTAGAGAGCAGAAAAATGGTTGGCTTTCCGTTTCTGAAACAGAAGTTCAAGAAGCCTAAAACTTCTCAATACCGTAGCCCAGAACAAGAAGTCTAATCCCTCGCATCTCACAATGCTACTTCAGAGACACTTATGTTCACCTGACTTTGCCTAGAAAAAAGCCCTAAGTCCTTGTCCAGTTGTTCGTTATCTATCCTCAACCGTTTAGGATTATATATGCCATCTATTAGCCCCACGAAGCTCGTTTGGCAATTCACGAATGATCCAATCTACACGATTGTTTGCTTTTAGAATCATTTTCTGTGGCTCATGGTGGTCTTGCAGTTACATCAAATTACTTGATTAATTAGGTAGAAAGGACTAAGAGATCGGTACATTCCCTAATTGTTCTAATGTAATCTACTCTTTGCAGGGAAGGGATAAAGATTGCATTCTGCTATCCTTCGTAAGGTCAAGTGAAAATCCAAGAAACTATGTTTCTTCATTGCTTGGAGACTGGCACAGGATTAACGTGGCTCTTACACGTGCTAAGGTTTAGATACTGTTCCTTGAGACATTTGACTGAAAATTTTGCTCTATTTGAGACCTTATGAAGTTACTCAGATTATATAGAATAATGTACTTACTCTTTTGATTGAACAGAAGAAGTTGATAATGGTAGGTTCATGCGTTACACTGTCAAGCGTGCCTCTGCTAAAACTTCTCATAGAAAAGGTGGAAGAACAAGGTGGCATTTTGAGCGTCTCCAAGAAGGATATTCATAAACCGGAATTGAAGAGATGTTCCAACCTGAGATGGTGAAGATGGTAAAGATGTGCCCCCCCCCCCCCCTTCCCCCAATTTTGCTATATCTTAAATTATTGCTAAATCCAGCCCTTTTAGGGGTTGCATTTTTGTATTCTAATGCAAATGTAAATATTAATCTCTGCGACACCAAGCCATCCACTCTTGTGTGAATAATAGTAAAAGTTCCTGGGTGAAATGAAATTGTTCAAGGTTAAACTTCACATTTCACGAATGTCTGTATATGAGGTATCAGATTGCAATTCCAATGCTGGTAAAAAATGCTAGAACGTTTTACATTGGGTGACCTTTCATCAGTAACCGAATTGGCAGGCATTGGTAAATATAGCCAATTTTAATTTGCACCTTCAATTTCGCTGCATTATGTTGTCATAATCCAACGAGCAATTTTGTTCGTAAAATAAATAAAGGACTAACCATAAAAGCAATCTCTTTATTGCATTTAGCCAATGAAGTGAAAAATGGTATTATTAGATGTAATGAGAATTCTCGAATTGATTTACAGGAGGTGCCGTCATCATGTTTAGAAAGGTCAAGGTAAGAATGAATATCACACGTTTCACACTTCGCATTCTACACTCACGCAGAAAATTGGAAGCAAGATAAGTTCCCACTGGTATAATCAGATCTCTCTAAAACAGAATTTGAAATTTAAGTGTTATTTAATTATTATAGACAAAATTTTCCAAAGAATCAATTTTTTTATTTTTTTTAAAACTTATAGTAAAAGATATAAAAAAATTACTTAGATTTAAGACCTCTAAAGATAAGCGTATTTCACTAAATAAAAACTGGAGAAATCTAATATATTATTAACAAGTGCATATTGATGTAATTTTCTTTGTCAAAATTGGTGCTGTATTGAATATTCAAAATATATGTGGCTTTATGACAACAGAGCATTAGTAGTGCTTTCTTTATTATGAAAATAAATGACAATTAACATAAGTGAAAACAATAATTTCAATTAATATTTGAGCAAAAGTTATTATAGAGGGATAATTTTACATAGAGTGTACTGTTAAAATGATAGTTGTTATAGATAAAAAGGTTATTATAACACCCC